CTGCACCACATGACACCATTTCTTATCCCAGTTGACATTTCTGACTGGTTAGGCAAACTTTTATTTAAATTAATTTTTAGCATTTGCATATGATGTTTCATCATGGTGTCCTCATAAGAATATGTTATTTTACTTTGTTCACACTTTATTCCTTTGCCCACTCTCCTCAGAATTCCTCTTTCATTCAGCGGGTGGTCTTTCTTCTTCTAGCTCCTCCCCACTTTAGACTTCCTATGACATGTATTCCAACTCCATTTTATTTCTCACCTTGCTGTAGACCTCTTCCTCCTTTCTAAGAATTACTGCTTTCTCATGACCTACAAACACACATATGCAAACATGCACGCATATATGTATATAGGTAAATTTAAATTTAAGTTCTGTAGATGAGAAGTAAATTCAGTATTTTCTTTCTGATCTGGCTTATTTCACTTGACATAATGATTTCTAGCTCTACACATTCACAGTCAAATACCACTACTTTATTTTTATTGTAACTACAAATATTTCATTGTGTGTGTCACATATTCCTTTGTTGATGGACACTTAGGTTGGATTAATTTTCAGGCTATTGTGAAAGGTATAGCAACAAACTAAGATGGATAAGTATGTCTGTGGCCCAATGATTCAGATCCCTTAGTGTATATTCCCAACCGTGGTCTACCTGAGTCACATAGCATATCTCTGTTGTTTGAGGAACTCCCATTTATATTTCCACAGTGAATTCACAAATTTGCATTGCCACCAGCAGGGATTAACTGTTCCTTTTTCTGCATGTCCTCTATATAAGCTTTGGTAGTCATGTGGTCTCTGGTGAGAGGCATTATAACTACAGTGACTCTGTCTCACTGTAGTGTTAGCGAGGAATGCTAGTATACATTGTTAGTATTTCTTCATTGAAAAACGGTTTAGATCATGCATTGAGTAAATAATTTTGGGAAAACTTTATGGATATAATCTCTTGCTCTGAAAACTCTTATTATATGGTTTTATTTGAAGTAACCAAAACATGACTTAAGGAGGGCCTACATCTCTAAATTACTTCAAATTCATGCCAAGCATTGCTGTTCTCATAAAAACTATGGATTAAACTACAAACATGTCAGGATCCCTTAATCTAAGGTGAAGTCTGATCGAGAATCCTGGCAGTAAACAAAATGGAGAAAGAAAAACAAGCAGAGGACTTCAATAGAAGGCAAACTCCATCTGTTAGGACTTAGGGAGGTGATTATGGAGCAGGAGGTTGGACTGGCCTATATTGTGAGAACTTGTGTCAAAAAATTGCAAAGTTTACAAATTGCCAATAACAATGTACAAAAACAATATGGCTGAGGCAAATGTTTATTTTAACTAATATAAAACATAAATGGTGTATATAAATGGGTCATCGTATTGAGTTTCAATATATGTGTCATATTTAAATTAAGTTAAGATACTTCCTAAAGATATTTATCATTTCTATACATTAAAAGTTCAAATTCCCAGCCAGGCAATGGTGAAACATGCCCTTTAATCCCAGCACTTAGAAGGCAGAGGAAGGTTGACCATTATTAGTCAGAGTCTAGCTTAGTGTAAAGAACTAGTTCTAGGATACCCAAAGCTACACAAATAAACCGTGTCTCAAAAAAAAAAAAACCAACAACCAAAAAAAAAAAAAAGATTAGTGTTCACCGTGGCATACATATGAACTTTGGGAGCCCATTCCACATGGAGCGGTACTCACCCAGCCTGAACACATGGGGAAGAGCCTAGGTCCTGCCCTGGATGAAATGACAGAATCTGGAGATTCCCCCAAGGAGGGCCTCACTCTCCCTGGGGAATGATGTGGGGATTGAGGTGTGGAGGGACAAGGGAGGAGAGGAGGGAGAGGGAAATGGGATTGGCATTTTAAGCATGTATGTTTCTAATTTAAATAAAAACATAAAAAGTTCAAATTCCAAGCCAGGAAATTGTGAAACATGCCTTTAATCCCAGCACTCAGAAGGCAGAGGAAGGTGAGCCATTGTGAGTCAGAGTCTAGCTTAGTCTACAGAACTAGTTCAGGATACCCAAAGCTACACAAATAAACCCTGTCTCAAAAAAAAATCAGATTTCCTTCCACATTCTGAACCTTAAAGTACAATATTGTTTTCTTTATCCATTCATTCTGCAGTAACACAATAGAGCTCCTGAGCTTATCTGACTATAACTCATTACCCGTTGATCTACCTTTCCTCACCTATACCAAATTCCTATCAGACTCTGGTAACCCCTATTCTACTTTCACATCTGTGGCATCACCTTCTTTGGATCCCACAAGTGAAATCAACAGTCCTTCATTCTGTGCCTAGCCTGTTTCACTCGGTAGATAGTATAGTTTCTTTTTTAACACATAAGTTTGTCTATAAAGAATAGGATAAGTGACTTTACCCTCTAGAGATAGGTTGATCAGAAATAAACTGATAAGAACCATTGTCTTTTCTTTCACTATCTTTAAATTCACTTTTATCTTCTGACATGTGTTCCAAAGAACATATTATCAGAGTTGTTTCAGAAAATAAATCAGTAGGATGTGGTCAGCCTCATTTTAGGTAGTGAAAGGAATGAATCTGATACTGGTTGACTGAACCATATTTTTCCTGCTCATCTACAAATCCAATTATCTCTAAATCTGTTACAACATGTGGTTCTTATAATTATTTTTTATCAATTACAATTCTCAACTAGGTAACATAAGAGATGATTGTGTAATCAAGAGTGGGACAAACCAAAAATATACACAAGTTGACTCTAATAATGGGTGTTTGATTTCCCTTTAAAATCTCATTCATTTATCTTTCTGTTTTCAATTAGGGCCTTTTTGTTAGATTGAGATTTGAGAAATAGGCTCCAAGATAAGAAGTCTCTATAGAAATGTGCAAAGTCAACACCAGGAAATCTCTGTAGAATCCATCAGAAACCTGCCCTGAAACTAACTAATTATAGGCACTGACACATGTGGAGAGAAGGTGCCCTAGATGTTCACAATTTATTCCCCAATGTTTTAGTGACCTGATATTTATTCAGAACACCTACAGAAAGCCAATCATATAAAATATGTGTCCATGAACTCCAAATATGAGGGTGGATTTTTAATTTACTTTCAAACATGAAGAAATCCAGATCTCTAAAGCACTTCAGTGTTTTTATTGTTTTTGCAATTTACATACTTAATTTTCCTGTGTCTAAACTGAACATATTCTGACAAGATATAATGAGACAGTAAATGAGTCATTCAGTCAATCTGAGTTCAAATATAGTAGAGTTTCTCAGCAAATATTCAGGTAAGGTATTAATGACTCTGTAAATAGATTTCTGATTCAGGGGAATAATTGTATTTAATACTAGAGAAGGGAAAATGAGATTTCACTTATTTTCTGTTAGAACTTCTAAGTAAAAAGTAACTTTTGAAAACTACATGTAAATATTTCCACTTGATTTCCCTATTCTGTTGTGTTAAAATAATAAAAGATAGTTATTTTGCAGTACTTCAAATATATTTTCAAAAACCTTTTTAAGTCAAAGTGATATTATAAAATGTTACATATCTGAAATATAAATGTCTAATTATTTTATTCATTTTATTAATACCTTTAGTAGAAAACTATAGAAAATTAACCATGTTTTGTGAATGAGTAGCGAAAATAATATGCTAATTTTAGAAGAATGATGAGTTAAATACTGACTACAATGTGTGCTTTTTTTAAAGCAGTTTAAAAATTCAAAATCTTAAGCAAAGAACCTTTGCTTCTCTCTGACTATTGTAAATGTATAGAAGGTCAATGATATGTAAAATATGGGTCTGAAAAAGGATTTGAATGTCCTCATACCACCTGGGTAATAGTTTTATTTGTCAGTGAATAAAAATTAAGTGATTTGTAAAATAATAAAAGTAAAATGCATTCAGAATAACTACAGCATGCTTATCTACAAAATGTTCTTCCTGTGGTCTGCTAAGTCCAGAGATTTTATTACCGTTGATGGAAAAAGATAATTGCATCACTTTTTTTAATCCTATACTGTTTCTACACTTGATACACTACAATGTTATCTGGATACACTATAACAGAACTCAATGTATAAGAATAATCATTGAATTTTGAAATACAGCAGATTAGAAACAAATACCGTCACAGATTTAAATAATCAGCTAAGTGGAAATCTTCTAACAAATATAACAAAATATCAAGGTATTGATTTCTTTTGAATGACCTGGAGTTATATTACTTTGGTAATTAGAACGAGAAATAATTATACCACAAATAGACACTTTGTCATGGAGTCTCATGTTAACTATACCCACAAGAGGCTTAAAACTGGACAAACTGTTAGGATGCTCAGATAATAAGAAGTAGCAACCAGTTTGGAAGCCTGCCAGATGACAACAGTAGGAACAAGACTATGCTAAAATGAGCATGGAAGTGATTTAAAACTAAGAAGATATGAGGATGCTATATATTCTCATCATTCCTTAAAGAGATTCATCTAAAAATATTCAACTCTTACTTTATCTGGGAAGACTATAAACAAGAGAAAATCATTTCTCCCAAACCACCCTTATTCTGTGTAAATGTTTAAAAATTCTCTACTAGATTCAAGAGATAATTCATTTTTCAAGATCACTTGGATCCCACAATACACTTAGAATTTTTTTGCTTAGAGAATGTTCTTACAAGATTCTAACAAGTTAAGAAATGGCAATTGACAAACAATGGATCTCTTCTTGGATTCAGGCTAGCACATGCAGCTAAGGCTTTCATTCTAGGAATTGTCCAGATATTTCAGGTCAACCCCTGTGCACTGTCTATTAGTACCCTCTCACCATGACATATGCTGGGCACACTGTTCTTCAAAAGATAGCAGAGGACAATGGGACAAGGTTCCTCTGCATTCATATTGTAATTAGAGTTGGGTAATAAGATACATTCTCCTTGTACCTGCAACTGAATTACTTTATAATTTTGTCTCAACACACGTCAGGAATGACAAAGGAAAATAACTCTTTGACAACAGAATTCATCTTGGTGGGATTCTCAGATCACCGATTTCTGAAGACCCTTCTGTTCCTGATGTTCCTTGCAATCTATCTGGTCACCATGGTGGGAAATCTCGGGCTGGTGGTCTTGATCTACATGGAACGCCGTCTTCACACACCCATGTACATCTTTCTTGGCAACCTGGCTCTCATGGATTCTTGCTGCTCCTGCACCATCACGCCCAAGATGTTACAGAACTTCTTTTCTGTGGACAGAAGGATTTCCCTCTATGAATGCATAACCCAGTTTTATTTTCTTTGTTTTGCTGAAACTGCAGACTGCTTCCTTCTGGCAGCAATGGCCTATGACCGCTATGTGGCCATATGCAACCCACTGCAGTACCACACCACGATGTCCAAGAAGCTCTCCATTCAGATGAGTATAGCCACCTTCATAGCTAGCAACTTGCATTCCATGATTCAGACCGGCTGCCTGTTAAGATTAAATTTTTGTAATTCAAATCGTATTAATCACTTCTTCTGTGATATTCTTCCACTATTTAGGCTGTCCTGTACAGACCCTTTTATTAATGAACTAATGATATATATTTTTTCAATGCCAATTCAAGTCTTTACCATTACCACTATCTTGGTCTCTTACTTTTGCATTCTTTTCACTATTTTCAAGATGAAATCCAAGGATGGGAGAGGAAAAGCATTTTCTACGTGTGCATCCCATTTTCTTTCTGTGTCAATATTTTACATCTGCCTTCTTACATATATTGGGCCTTCTGAAGATGGTAATAAAGACATTCCAGTGGCTGTATTTTATACATTAATAATTCCTTTGTTAAACCCTTTTATTTACAGCCTGAGAAACAAGGAGGTTTTAAATGCGTTTAAGAAAGTTATGAAGATTTATATTTTTAAAAAATCTTCAGCATCTGCCAAACACATTAATGGCATATCATTAAATTAATTTTATGAATATGAAATATAGAAAGTAAAATGTGGTTTATATAAAATATTAGTCTTTAAATAGTTGGATTGTATATATTAAACAGTATACAAATGCAATTCCAAAATAATTTGTTAACTATTAATCTGCTCTATAAAGAAGAAAAGTTATTAACTCTTCTACATACTTTCATTATTCTTAAGAGATTTTTCTTTAACACTGTTATTTCAAATTCAATAAATTAATAAATTCCAAACTTGAACGGTTAATGTGCAAGATGGTTTAGCTAATGAAAGAAATTTCATGTTATTTTTCCAGAATGTCCTATCTAAAATTTCCAGGAATTGACTTTTTTCATAAATATTTCCTTCTCTTCCTTCCTCCTTTAGTAAAGCAAATGCAACAGAGAAAACCTACTATATGAGTCAAATTTCATCCCTTTAGAATATTATTGTTAATACCATGAACAATATTTTGTAAATAATCATATAAATTTATGTTTTTTTTACTCATTTTCTCAGCTTATGTTAGGTTAGTAGATACTTCTGCTCGAAGTTTAAATTTCAAGTTTGTGGCTTCTTTTTCCATTAATTGCCATTTCACACACACAAATGTTTGTATGTGTATGATACACATATCTGTATATCCATTTATATGTTAAATGTATATGCATATGAACATATGCTTGTGTATTTAAGAGTACATATGCATATATATATATAACATATATACCTATACATTCTTAGACTGCTCAGTCTGTGTTATGTTACTTTCATGTATGCTTTCAGGGATGACCATCATGTAGTAGATAACCAGTTAGTGTGCTCATATCTGTGTAAAACTATTTTTTAAATTCTCAGCACTTCTCATTTGCAAGTGGTTTCTTTATATAGTGATGAAGCCTCCTAGCCTTTTCCCCATCCATGCAAACTTTGCTACTATTCATGACATTAGGCTATGAAGGAAACAAATTAATAGTAGAGAGTTTGATGTACAATTAACCAAAACTCATGAAGCTGGGCATCTTAATAATATCTTGGCATTCTTTTTAAATTTGTTTTTATTTAAATTAGAAACAAGCCTATTTAACATGTGAATCCTAGTTCCCTCTCCCTCCCCTTCTCTCCTGTCCCCCATCACCCCCTACCCTGTCCTTCCTCTGGTTCCCAGGGAGGGTGAGGCCCTCCATGGGGGTTCCCCCAAGTCTGCTTAGACCCTACCCATGTGTCCAGGCTGAGAAAGCATCCCTCCATGTAGGATGAGCTCTGAAAGACCATTTGTAAGCCAGGGATAAATATTGACCTACTACCAGATGCTCCACAGATTGCCAAGGCCTCCTCACTGACATTCATGTTTAGGAGGTGTGTATCAGTGCCATGCTGGCCTCCAGCCATCAATCTGGGGTCCATGAGCTCCCACTTATTCAGGTCAACTGTTTCTTTGGGTTTCACCAGCCTGGTCTTGACCCCTTTGCTCATCACTCCTCCCTCACTGCAACTGATTTCTAGGAACTCTAGTCCTGAAAACATCTGCACAAATATAGACAGGTAGACCAATAGAATTGAATTTAAAACCCTGATATTAACCCACATACGTATGAACACCTGATTTTTGACAAAGAAGCTAAAACTATACAATGGAAAAAGGAAAGTATCTTCAACAAATGGTGCTGCAATAACTGGATTCTGGCATGTAGAAGCCTGCAGACAGATCCATATTTATCACCATTCACAAAACTTAAGTCCAAATAGATCAAAGACCTCAACATATATCCAGCCTCTTAGAAGAGAAAGTGGGAAGTATCCTTTAACAAATTGGTTCTGCAGACTGCTTCCTGAACATAACACCAGAAGCACAGACTCTGAGATTAGACAATTAATAAAAGTGACCTCCTGAAATGGAGAAGCTTCTGTATGGTAAAGGACACAGTCAGCAAAACAAAATGGCAGCCCACAGAATGGGAAAAGATATTCACTAATCCCACATCTGACAAAGGGCTGATCTTCAAAATTTACAAAGAACTCAAGAATCAAGTCTCCAAAACACCAAAGGATCCAATTAAAAATGGGCTACAAAACTAAATAGAGAATTCTCAATAGAGGTGTCTAAAATGGTTGAGAGACACTTGAGAAAGTGCTCAACACCCATAGCCATCTGGGAAATGCAAATCAAAACAACTCTGAGATACCATCTCACTCCTGTCAGAATGGCTAAAATCAAAAACTCCAACAACAATTTATGCCAGAGAGTTTGTGGTGAAAGGGGAATACTCTTCCGCTACTGGTGGGTTTGCCAACTTGTACAGCCACTTTGGAAATCAGTATGGAGATTCCTCGGAAAAATGGGAATAAACCTACAACAAGACCCAGTAACTCCACTTTTAGGCGTATATCAAAAAGATGTCCATTCATACAACAGGGATGTCTGTTCCACTATGTTCATAGCAGCATTATTTCTAATAGCCAGAACTCGGAAGCAACCTAGATGTCCCTCAACCGGAGAGTGGATAGAGAAAATATGGTACATTTACACAATGGAGTACTATTCAGCAGACAAAAACAATGGAACCCCGAAATTTGCAGGCAAATGGATGGCACTAGAAGAAACCATCCTGAGTGAGGTAACCCAGTCACAAAAAGAGAAATGTGGCATGTACTCTCTCATATATGGATTTTAGACATAGATCTGGGGAGGGCCAGCCTACAATCCCATGACCAGAGAGTCTGGGAAACAGAACCTTCATTCAATGGCTGATGGAAGCAGAGGCAGACTCCCACAGCTAAACACTGAGATCAACTCAAGAAATCCAGTGATAGAGGGAGGACTGATGAGCAAAGGGGTTAAGGCTGGGCTGGTTTAACCCCCAGAAAAAGCTGACCTGACAAGGGGTAGCTCTTGAATCCCAGACTGATGATTGAGAATCCAGCATGGGACTGATCCAGACCCCCTGAATGTGGGTGTCAGTGAGGAGGCCTAGGTAATCTATTGAGCCTTTGGTAGTAGATCAGTATTTATCCCGGGTATACAAATGGACTTTGGGCACCATCCAACAATGAGAGATGCACTCCCACCCTGGACTCTTAGGGAAGGGTCTAGGCCCAGCTCTGGATGAAATGACAGAATATAGACACCCCCATGTAGGGCCTCACCCTCCCTGGGGAAATGAGGGGTTATTGGAGGAGTTGGTGGGAGGGCACAGGAGGAGGGGAGGGAAAGGGAGAGGGACCTTGAATTGACATGTGAAGCAAAGCACCCCTGTTTCTAATTTAAATTTAAAAATAAAATAAAATAAAAAACAGTGGAACCTTGAAATTTTCAGGCAAATTGGTGACACTAGAAGAGTGTCTTGAGTGAGGTAACGCCTTCACAAAAAGACAAAGATGGTATGTACTGACTCATATATTGATTTTAGATATGAATCAGGGGATTGCCAGCCTACAATCCACACTGCCAGAGAGTCTGGGAAACAGGGAAGATCCCGAGATGCATGGTATCACAGAGAAGAGGAATGGGACAGAATCCCCTAAACAGATTGGGAGCATGGGAGGAGGGGAGAAGAAGCTTGGAGAAAGACAGAGAGAGGAAGAGAGAGGAAATACATGGGGGAGCATGAAGTCTGAGTCCGGAGAAGAATAGAGGACAGGATAAGAGATACCATAATAGAGCAAGTCATTTTAAGTTTGAGGAGAGATCTGGCACTAGTGGGATTTCCAGATCTGCAAGGATGACACCAACTGATTAGCTAAGCAATAGCTCATAGTCTACTTAAATGTGCATAGTCTACTTAAATGTCCTTGCCCTATAATGAGCTTTATGACTACCAAATATGCCATTTATAGCCTTCATCCAGTGGCTGATGGAAGCAGAGGCAGACACCCACAGCTAAACACTGAACTGATCTCTTGGAACCCAGTTGCAGAGAGGGAGGAGTATTGAGCAAAGTGGTCAAGACTGGGCTAGTGAAACCCACAGAAACAGTTGACCTGAAAAAGGGGAACTCATGGACACCAGACTGATGGCTGAGAGACCAGCATTGAACTGATCCAGACCACCTAAATTTGGGTGTCAGTGAGGAGGCCTCAAAAATCTATGGGGCTTTGGGTAGTAGATCAGTATTTATCACTGGCATACAAATAGACTTTGGGAGCCCATTCCACATGTAGTGATGCTTTCTCAGCCTGGACACATTGGGGAGGGCCTAGTCCATGCCCTGGATGATATGACAGACTTTGGAGATTCTCCATGGAATATTTAAAACACAGTTTATTCAATTACATACTCTAATAATAACTCTTAGATAATCTATGTAACCCCAGTCAACTCACTAAAAATTTAGGCTATGGAGACCCTTTTCCTAATTTTTTTCATGAAAACTGTTAACATATTGATTTACTGACACCTTTTGTATGGCGAATAAGCAAAAAACAGAACTAGAAAGAAGCACAAACTCAGTCTAGATGGTGAATGTAATGGACATATACCTCTCCTCACTCTCAGAAGCACACTGACCACAGAGCATCCTTTGACAATCTTCCCACTGGCTTAATCTTGCACTTGCTCTCCCATGTCTTTTTTACCTGCTCTAAGAATCATTATTTCACACAAGTGAATTCATTGAAAGACATATATATCTAAGAATTCCCAAGGTGTGTCTATTTAGAGAAATAGAGTACTGCCTCACCAGAACAGGCAAATGGGCTGACTCTCCAGCCTGACAATGATATCATACTAGTTTTCCTTCTATAGTAACTGCATTACTACAACAGCTGATGTATTTGCAATGACTTAGTGAATGACATAGAGACCTGTTAAAGTGTTTTGACTTGATTTCTGGTGTATTTATTTTATTATGTTGTAACATTTTATTAAAAACATTTATATAATTTAAAATATGAAAAAGGGTGCATAGACAAGAGCCCATTTCACTGCTAGCTCTGGTTAAATAGGGATATATTCAGTGGGTAAGAGCACTTGGGGCGATAGATGAATAACTGTGCTTGCTGACCCAGCAATACAGCATTCAAATGTCAGAAGGAAAGGGCTTCCAATTCTCCGTTGAGAACATCATGGCCCCACAAATGCTTGTAATACAAGTGATGTGGTTTGGGGTGCACAAAAATGAATGTTGAGGTTAGCAGGTAAAATTCTAGCTCCATTTTCAGTAAAAGTCACTCTTTCAAGAAAATAAGGTGAAGAGTGTTTCAGCAGGACACTCTGCATCCTCTGGCCTCTGCAAAAATTTGCATGACAAAACATAACTTCTCACACACAAGTGTGCATACACAACAAGCATATACATACAATGCAACAACAACAACACAATTCTAGGTTAGGTTACTTTTCAAAATGTTTTTAACAGTGTACAAAATACAGTCAAATTAAGTCTACACAATATTGTGATAGAGAGCTGAGGGGAAGTAAGGGGGGTGGGAGGGACAATTTTGGTTAGGATGTAAAATGGAATATAGAAGAATAAATTATAAAAAATCATAGGACCAAAAAGCAACAATAAAAATGCAACAGATAATTATAAGAGAACTAAGATTTTCTCTTTAAGTATTTTTCCAGTGAACTTTTTACTTGTCTATTTCTCAAACTGTAAATAATTGGATTTAGTACAGGAACTATGACAGTGTAAAATACAGAATCCATCATGTCATATTCATCTACTTGTGGAGATGCAGGACGCACATACATGAAAAGAAGAGGACCATAGTACAAAGACACGGACAAAAGGTGGGCTCCGCAGGTGGAGAAGGCTTTCTTTATACCTTTGATAGATTTCTGCTTTAAGATTGAAAGCAGAATAAGTACATAAGAGACAAGAATAGTTGTAATTGTGAATACTTGAATTGAGCCAGAGAAAATAAAGAGCATTAGGTAATTGAGAGAAGGGTCAGTACAGGAAATCTTTAACAGGGGCATAACATCACAGTAAAAATGATATATTACATTAGATTTACAGAATGTTAGTCTCGATAAAAAGCCTTCATGAATTAAAGCATGAATAAATCCACCTACAAAGGACAGTATTATCAGACATATACAGAGTTTATTTGTCATAATCACTGGGTAGAGTAAAGGTTTGCATATGGCTGTGTAGCGGTCATAGGCCATTGCTGCCAAGAGAAAACATTCTGTGGTTGCACTGACTACAAATGAAAAAAACTGTAGCATGCATTCTGAAAGAGAGATCAGCTTACTCCTGTCAAAAAAGTCTAGTAGCATCTTTGGTGTCACTGTGGATGATAACCAAGTATCTACAAAGGCTAAACTCCCTAGAAATAGGTACATGGGAATGTGAAGGCTAGAGTCGTTCCAGATCACAGTAATGAGACCAAGATTTCCCACCATGGTGATGAGATAGATCACCAGGAACAGCAGGAACAGAGGGATTTTCCACTGTGGCAGATGAGTGAGACCTGTGAGAACAAATTGTGTCAGCAGTGTTTCGTTCCCTGTTCCCATGTCCTCACTGGATGTCCCTGAGATGAGAAATGATGGATGTCACACAGCATTCATGAAAACTTGTGAAGTAAAATTTTAAGTAGAAGAATTTAAAACACAACTATGTATTCATGAAATCAACCACAGATTTCACTTAATATCACTATATAAAATTAAAAACATTTATTGATTGTGAGGAAATTATTTCAATTCATTATTGCAAATAAAAATATGGTATGCATTAGCATATTCAAATTTGTAGGGAAAGTATGAAATCATAAATTGTTTGGTGTTAAAATTCTTTATCTGTGTTACATATGTTATATATTCATAATCAAGGCAAAGATATTTTAAGCATCTACATTATACAATGAATTCAACAGAAAAGTTTTAGTTCAAATGCTCTAATTTAATAAAGAGAAATCTCAAAATGCATAATTGCCTGGGAGTTTTTTCAAAATTTACTATACAGGAGTGAGTAAATTCAGTTTCTAGTATGTTAAAGAGGAGTCAGTAATATAGAAAACTCTTAATATACCCAGAACGTCCTGTGTATAACAGAATTGTCTCGGAACATTTGTTCAAACTGCAGATCATAAGAATTTGATATAAATTGGCATAGAAGTTTAAGAACAAGAATCTAATAAACAAAGTCTATAAAACTTTCCCAGATAATGTTCAGTGAAAATGAAGTTATTGAAACATGTGTGACTAGACATTGACAATACTAGGAAGACAGATATAAATTAGTTAGAACTTGTAATATTGAGTGACTATTGTATAGTGACACAGTTGAACTTGGTGTTCAATGGAATGAAAGTATCATTTGTTGACTACAGATGTGGTCTCTGTTTCAGATTTTATTTAAATTAGAAACAATCTTATTTTATATATCAATATCAATCCCAATTCCATCTCCCTCCCACCCTCCCATGCCCCCATTCAATCCCCCATCCCATCACCAATCCACTCTCCAAGGATGGTGAGGCATTTTTAAATGATTTCTGCAATTCAAATACACTAGTTTGTTTGCCATTATCACTGAATCTGCAAAGTACATACTTAGTAGTGTTGGTCTAATGAAGGCTTAACACTAATGACCATGTATGACTGCTTAACCTTCTTCCTTTTATGACCATGTTTTCCAGCTAATTAATCTGATACTCTCAGAATGTCTGTGGTAAACACAGCCATTTCAAGAACAAAGAAAACCAAAGGAAAGGCAAGTATTGATGCAAACCAGAAATGAAGCAGATATTTGAGGGATGTTGTTTTAATGGGGGAAAGCAAATGGGAAGGAAATGGAAAAATGTTATTCCAGAAGGCAAAATAAAGGATCATTGGGAAATAAATGACAAGAGTTTACTGAGTGTCAAAATTAAGAAAATTTTAATGGCTTGCATGTAATTAGAAAGTAACAGGAAATGATGGGAAGGAAAGCTGTACAGTGATGTTGGGTGTTCTTCTGAGAAGTGTGGGGGAAGACTGATGCTTGTTTTGCAATCATAGACTACTATAGTCTCTTACATGTAGAACATTTAAGGAAAAGCTTTTAGGCAAAGTATTAAAAAGTGAGGTGAGAGACATGGAAAACACTAAAAGAAGGAAGGCACAATCAACATGAAATGGGAAATGGGTACATAAAAAGCAATAAAACGGAGAAAGGAAAGCAGGCAGTGCTTAGCAAAGACACACAGATTTATGAAGGAAAAGAAAGAGAAACAATGGAAAGGAAGTAGCAAAGAACTCTGAAAAATCCAGAACACTTTGTTCTTTAAAATAGTTGTTACATTATATACCTGAATGAGTGGGACTGTTTGGAGAGAGGAAAGGAAGAGAAATTATGTAAACATAGTTTTCCCAAATTAAAAATTGATGAATAAATACAAGTTTATTTAAATTATATTTTAAATGCACATAGAAAGAAGAACAATATTCTGATGTTTGCTTTCAATGGTTTTCTTAACTTTTTTGTTTTTTAGCTATTGTGGATTTTGAAAAAATGTATTTTCCTTTTGTAAAAATCAAAATACATTTTCTACAGAATATACATTTTAAAATAGGCATATTAAATGTGACTTCATTAACTTTCTGTGTGATATATATGTATATGTATATATCACATAGAGAAAAAGTATGTGTTTCTACATTTACTCCTGTATTTCTATGAAATATTTTTTATGTCAAAGCACTTAGAAAATATTTGCAAATCTCACTAGTTTGATTTTCATATATTCATATATCTTTTTAACAATTGCCTAGGTTCTATTCCATTTTGTTTTATATTAGTAGAATATAATAAAGTCAGATCAATTTTGTGTTATATACCATGCTAATATTTCACTTTTAAGGTAAATTTAATGGGAATGGTTTTCCTTCCACAGAATCCAAAACACACCAACAAATTCAAATTCTTATGTTACTTAAGATGTGGAGATGTAACAAATCATTAACACACAAAAAAGTGTAATGTGTCCATCTTTGACATATTTCGATATGTTTTTATTTTTAGGTTTTAGGTACTTAGACATATATCTAGATATATATCAAGGTACAATCCTCAATGTGTAGTCTATCATGCATACATTTGTAAATTATATAAATTATGCAAATATAAAAAGAAAAATATAGGTATTATTTTATAAATAGAAGATGTAATTTAATCGTTTACTTCTAAGTAACTGATCTTAGAAGTCTTATGAAGGAACATGACTAAACAATGGTCTTTCCTGACATCATCAGATTAATTGCTAATATATTGATCATTAAGGTTTCATGCTGAATTTAGAGTTAACACTCTAGTTCAGGAGAATATAAAAGACATTAAAGTAAAGGCTGGACATATAGTCCAGCTGTTAAATGCTGGACTTGCATCTAAAACCATTATTGTAAGGTACAAAGGTTATATACAGTGTGACACACCACAACTCCCAGTGTAAATGAGACAAATGAAGAGATATTCGAGATATGGGGAAGACAGAGGAGCAAAGAGGGCTTTTGGTTGTTTGGTTTGGTTTGGCTTTGTTTTAAAATTCTTCTTGTTTTAAAGTTATCTTTTCGGGACTACAGTTCAAGAGTAAGTATGATAGGAATTGGGGCGCGTGATATGAAATTCACAAAGAATCAATAAAGAAATCACACTAAGAAATATCTTAAAGATAATAATTCTAGATACTTTGTTAATTTATATTTAGCAATTAGTGAAAATATACAGACAATTCTTTGTTGTTGTTACTATTTACCTTTAGACCCAGATATATAAAATTATTATGAATTAAGAAGCATTCTAAAATTTCTGTGGAAAGCATGGTTGATACTACAGAATTCGTTTGTTTCTTACCTATATCAAGAATAAAAATTCCAGAGATCCTTAAAGAACATCAGTGGCCTAAAGCAGAAAGAGTACAATACTACAAGACCACAGGACCACACGTGATGATGCCCTTCATGACAATTCCTTTGGAAGTCTCATGTCCTAACGCAGCAAAATCACTCTACAGGATGTCTCCTTCAATGCAAGAACCTTTATACCCTGGTCTGCTTTTCCATAGAGAGAAGGGCTGAAAAACTGGAATTCCCACAGGAAACTCAGGGTTCACTGGAGGCAAGAAAGAGGTTTCTCAACTGGACACTGTAGGTTTGGACAGAAGTCTAAATTGGTTCCTAGGCCACTGCAGACTTCATACCATAAGTATTAATTTTCTGATAGAGACTCTAATTTTAACCATAGAAATTGTGATAGCATACTATTTCACATTGCATAAAATAACAGTATATTAAACATAATTAAATATATTAAAATTCTGACAGATTTAGTCAAAATAATATATAATTTTATACCTTGATGGATTTGAGTGGTATGCTTTTTCTGAACTCATCAAACATGACTTTATTAATCTCAATGATCAAGTCTCAATTTCTTAAACTGTGACTTGTGATTGCCATGTGGGTTTGTGAATTATATGGTGGTGATAATGGTTTATATAAAAACCTTAAGATTCACTGAGAATAAAATTTGATGAATATGAGGTGGCTTTGGCATCCTTAATTCTCTTGCACTTTGATTTCACTGCAGCTTTGGTAAATGCACAAGTGTAGTTTGCACTGCAAATGTCATTGTTTTAAGCAATACAACACTCTTTCAAATAGCTGATTCAGAATCCAGGTTACTGTGAATTGTGAATTGTACTTTTTTCCTGTATACACAATACTTTTTTTGTCTTTCAGTATGCATAAACACACTGGTTAAAATACATAAAGCCAAAGACAATAAAGTTTTTCTTATTGTCATTTTGCCACAATATCATAATAGTATTCTGACTTTGGGTACCATTTTTAAAAATGGGAATTTGGAGACATAAAAATATTGTCACTAACATGATACACATGAAAATTATTCAATAAATGTTTGCTTGGAATTATGATAGAAATTCCATCAGTTTCTGAAATGGAGCTAAACATACTTTTGCCACTTTGGACTGACATTCTTAGCACTAAAGGTAATACAATCAAAATAGTGACTAACTCTGATAGTGTTGAAGATGATCTACATATTGCAGTAGTAAATATTCAGCAAAGACTTATAAAACAAGCAAGTACGCCCATCTCATCATTAGTGAACTTTGCTTTCTTCTTTAATAATTCTTAAAATTCCATTCATATCAAAGATAATTTAAAAAATAAATATAGCTGTTTATCAAAAATTGGATGAGAAAGGAAGAAATACAAAGGAAAACATAAACACAGGATTGCAGTAGAGAGAGGATTATATTCAAGGATCCCAAACATCAAATCCTGGAATCTAAATTTCCCACAGACATTGTTAAAATGCACATTCTGCTAAGTGGTTATGTGTGGGCTGGAGACACTTGTGGTCTGCACACAGACCATCACTGAAAGAGAAAAATTATCACAGGAACCAAAGTTGTAAATGTGAATTTCTTGCAGTAAAAGGAGGAAGATGCCATCAATGAGTCAGTTATGTGAGATCACACAGGACTTGGAGGCAGGGTCATAGTGTG